CAGGATTGAACAAATAACAAACTACGCTCCTTTTGTCTCAACAGTTAATATGTCACAATGATTAATATACAATAAGTTTTTTTTTTAATATATTTCTGGGCAGCAAAAAAAAAGTGAGGAAAAACAGATTTATAAAGGCAAATAGCCAATATCTCTGAGGATTTAAACTCAAGAAATTAAACCAGTTGCAATTACAGGAACAATTATTACAGAGTGTTGCTGCACATGTGCATGGGAATCAAAGCAGAAAGCTCAGCTTGGACCAGTTAAAATGATGCTCATGGTATGTACCACAAGCACCAAAACAAGAGCAGCACCAAACTCTTGGCTGTTGTGGGGAGTTTTTTCTTTTCATATGCTCTCACAAAACTAACTTTTCCCTTTTTGAAAAATTGCTTAAAGGTCTGTCATAGCCTCAAGTCATGGTATGTTTTTACTTAAAAAGAAGGCGGGGGGATTATGCCTTTAATGTGAACAAGCCACATTGCTTTTGCATTCATATTTAATATGCTGCTTGTTATACTGCCGTGAAGCTTACAAAACCAAATATAATGTCTTCTATTTTGGTTTCTCCAAGTTGCTACTTAAGTAAATGAACCCAGTAGAGAATAAAAAGTGCCGTGAAGGCAGTTTGCTCAAGGACAACCTGGATCCCAGGCTAGATTATTAAACAACAAAACGCAGCACCCCTGTTTATTTTCAATCCTCCATCGCCATGTGCGCTCTTCCTGAATTGCAATAGCGGGTGCAAACGCTCAAATGGAGCCAGAGGAGATATTTGCTAGAAGGTGGAGCAAGCAAATAATAGGTGTTAATTACTACAGAAGGTTAGGTAATAATTGTCACTTTTTACCTACCGGCAAGCCATTTTAAAAGACACGGGGATGCACTCTGCATCCACGGCTAAGTGAGGTATTTGGAATAGTAAATCGTGCAAGAATTTCAAGTATGATTACACTGCGCGTCTCCCGCGCTCGTCGTAACCCAGCTCCATCAACAAGGTGGATATATCCTTGGGCAAGCGGCATCGCGGCCCAGGCACGCGCGCGGGGCTCCCGGCGTTATGTAAGAGCCGGGCCCGGCCTTCCATTAAAAACAATGCCACGTTCTGGCGCTCCGGGTTGCAAAACCAGCCGAGCTGGAAACGTTGACCCAACCTCCGGTGCGGGAGCAGCGCGCGCGCCAAGCCCAGCGCGGCTCCCTGAGCAAACATCGGGTCCCGACGCTCACCGAGGAGACTCGGGGCTCCTGGAAGCGCCACCCGGCCCCCAGAGCGGCTCCTCGCCGGGGTGGGCGACGAGGCAGCGCCGCCTCGGA